ATACTATAAATGATAATTCTTTTTTGATATATTATAGACGCTAGATGATAATAAACAAAGTTAGATTCTTCGATCAGACTGATCACCTCCATATATATGATGATAAAATGTTTGATGATAAAAATTGTTCGTAGTAAATATAGTTTAAAAGAAAAAAAAAAAAGGTAACCTGTTATTGATTGATTATTTAAAAATTTTTGAATAAAGGTTACATTTTTGAATCCACATGAATATTTATGTTTGTGAAGTTTGTTAGTTAAATAATTTATTACTTTTCCATATTGATACAAAAATGGAAATTTTGGCAAGATCTTCACTACAATGATTTTTTTTTAAAAAAAACATTGATTATTAAAGAAAAAAATGTCATAATAATAATAATATAAATTCCAATAAAATGAATAAGATTTATTTAAATGATAATATTTGGTATTATTATAATTATATTGAATATAATTAAGATTAAATGAAATAAGTATATAAATATTATTAATTGAATAATTAAGATATTCAATTGTAAATTTACTCGAATAATTTAACTAAACATAATAAAATGTAAAAATGATAAAAATCTTTTGTTTTTTGAATAACGAATTTTATTTAATCTTATTGATGAACATAATTCTATTTGATAAAATATTTAATATAAATTATTTCTTGAATAAGATGTTAAACAATAAAATCTTAAAGATTTTTTCTTTTTTTTATTTCAATATAATATTAACATTTTTATAATCAACATTTATTTAAAGACTTTTTTTTCTTTTTTATCTCTAACGCGCCTTTCGTTTTTGCTTGTTTTTGTTTTCCTAATTAACCTATGACAAAAATAAAAAAAAGACATTCAGTTTTATTCAGAAAATTTTATATCATTCGATATGATTTTCTTTAATGTTTTATTCAGATAAAATAAAACATTGAAAATAATTCAACTCATTTGACTTTTTTTTTTGTTTTAATGGAAAATCTTTAAAAACTAATTCAACCAATATAATTTATTCGAATTTGTTTTTTTTTTCAACATTTCAAATAAAATTTAAGTTTAAAAAAAAACTGAAGCAAAACTATTTTGTTTTTTAATCGAATAACAAACTTTAGAATGAAAGTTATTTTGTTTAATTTAATAAATAAAAACTATCAAATATTCTCAAGAAAAAAAGATAAAGATTATCTTTCAGATGAGATTAATTCTTTATTGAAAATAATATCTTTATATTTGCTTTTTTGTGTCTTCATTGAATAAATCAAAGCAAAGCAAATTTTTTTTTTTTGAAAATCTTTTCTTTTCTTTTTTTCTGTAAGAACATTTTAATATATTAACTTATTTAAATAAGAACAAAACTTATCTAATAAATAGATCTAAAATGATATGTGGATATTATTTAATCAAAGAGAGTATTCCAACATTGATTATAATGATGAAATGATTCTCTTATGATACAAATTAAACAAAATAACAAATATATTATTTTATTTTTAGTTAAAAAGATCTGAAAAAGATACAGATGCTATTTATGCTCTTAGTCCAAATTGGTATCGAGATTGGGAAAATTTTGTTTGTGAAAAATCATCTGGTAAATATTTATTTATAATATTTATTTTAAAAAATAAAAAAAACAAAAAATAAAATTGAAATAGAACCTCCAGGTCCAATATCAAATGCAGCTATTTCAACAACTAAAAATGGTGTTACTCGTTTAATTAGACGTGGTTAATTATTTTTATTAATTATAATAATAATAATATTTGTGTGTTTTGTTTTATTAAGATTGTAACTATTTTCAAGTAAATGAATCAATATGGAATTTCTTATATTCAATATATGGTGGTGGACCTGAATTAATTATTCGATCCAATTCTATATTGAATTCAAATTCAAATATAGACGATCAAATATCTTCGACTAGTAGACCTGCAGTGACTTTCGTTTAGAAAAAAAAAATTTCTTTCTTTCTTTCTTTCTTTCTTTCGTTTTTTTTGTTGTTGTCGTCTTATGTCCGATAAATGTTTGTGTTTATTTATTTCATTTGCTCTCTTTCTTACTTGCAATTAAACAATTTTCTTTCATGTACTCAAAAAAAAATCAAGAAAAAAAAGAAAGAGAAGAAGAAAAAAAACTTGAAAAGAGTTGCACAAAAATGTCAATCTCAGTAGTGAAAAAAAAAGAAATATCTATTGATTATTTACTTTTTCAAATTTTTATTCGTTATTTCGTTTCAGTCTTTTTGCAGATTTAATTTTTTTTGTTTTTTTTTTTATAATTTAAATAAATCTCATTGCATGTTTCAACTCTTAACAAAGTAAGTCAACATTAGTTTTTATCAGAATATTATTTTTTCTTGATCTCTATGAGATTTTCGAAGAAAACTATTCTCTATATCAAATATAAATCAACGTTCTTCCAACTAATCGCTAATTAAAGATCTTAATAGTTACGGTTAATAAACATGATCAATAAAAAATGTTTAGAATTAATTTCGAATATTAAACAAGCTTCAATGAAATTAAAATCGCTTTAATATGTTTATCATTATTGAAAATAAAATCATTTGTTTCTCAGATAAATAACTATATTAACAATAAGATTTTTATTTTGCATAACTCTATAATATGAAAAAGAGAAAAGAATAATCGGATTAAGTTCGAACTTTGGCTAATAATTAATATAAATCTTAAGAAATACATCGATATAAATAAGAAATTTTATTAAAATCCTTCATAAATATAATTAATATCTATAATAGGATTATATTATTGGAAAATAAATATTTATTATAAAAATAGAAATTTAACAGATGATGTATTTTGTATTTGTATAATCAAACTAAATAAGAGATGTCAGTTCAACATATTAATATTAAAGAAGCTAAGATAACAAGTTTTTCTGTTTATAGAAATTGAAAAGACATAATATTTATTTAATTCTATCAATGAAAACAATAAGTAAAACTAACTAAATTCTAGTTTAATTAAATTAATAAATAATTATCTTCTTATTCTACAATGAATGTTAACTGATTAATCATTTATGAAAATAGAAAAATCATCTTAACTAATCAATATTTTTAAAGTTGAATTGTTTCGAACAGTAAATAGATTAAAAATGAATTTAGTCTTAAAAACAGTTCGAAAAAGTAAATTTTAAGTATAAATCTATATGATCGTATCTTAAATATTCTATGCGAAAGTTTTATATTAATCTAATTAAATTATTTTATAATGAAAAAAAGTTTCTTAAATATTTATTTAGTTAAAAAAGAAAAATGTCTCAATCAAAAAAATTTGTAAATCGTTCATATTATATTGAAAATGTTTTGTTAAATAAATTGTTTGATCGATGTCGATATCTATATCGATATCTATATCGATATAATATATCATTATATATGAAATTTATTATTTGTATATTAATATTATATTATTTAAATATGTTATTTGGATTTAATAATAATATATGGTATGAAAAATCATTTGAAAATGAATATCATTTAAGGATGAAACATATTGATGTAACAAAAATTGAAGAAAATGTTGAACAAGTTTTAGGTTTACCAAATAATATTCTTCCAAATAAATTTATAATTAAAAATAAATATTTATGTGGTCGTTCAATTGATCCTGAAACATTAATTCATCCACATTTACTTATATTAGTTAAATCAAATATAGAAAATATTAAACAACGACAAGCTATTAGAATGACATGGGCAATAAAACAAATTTTATTAAATAAAAATATTCAATTAGCATTTGTTTTAGGTAAATCAATATTCACTTTTTTTTTATTTTATTTTAATAAAAAATTTCAAATTAGATTTAAAAAAACTCTTCTAAATTCGTAAGTTTTATTAAATATGCTTTTTCCTATAAAATTCACTTCGATTATTTTGGTTAATAATGCATGTTATATCACATATTATTATATTTTATTTTATTTTTATCTTTAATATAGTTAGTCATTTATATATATTGTTTAATTAAGGAAGGAAATATTGTAAAATTTTAATTATAGGTAGAAATATCGATAATACAAGTATTGAAGATGAATCAAATAAATATGGAGATATAATTCAAATAGATAATATTGATTATTATTATTATAGTTCATGTAAGTTTTTAAATATAATTTAATTGGAATAAAACAAAAAAAAACTAAAAATGTTCTTATTAATATATAATAAAGATAAAATGATAATGATGCTTCGTTGGATAAGTGATTATTGTACATCAAAATCTGTTCGTTCACCTCATACAGATCTTCGAAAATATGTTTTTATTATAAATGATAATTATTATGTTGATATAGATAAATTATTAATATATATATATTATATAGATGAAGATAAAGAAATGACAACATATGAAAGACGAACATTTATAACAGGTGAATTAATTGAAAAATCTCGTCCTCGAAGATTTATAAATGATCGTTGGCATATGTCAATAACTGATTATCCATATGATATTTATCCTCCATATATATCAACTGAATGTTTTTTAATGACACGTTATAATGCACGTTTATATTATATTGCATCGAAATATACTCGTCTTTTTTATTTTGATTATATTTATATGGGACTTTTATCTTATTCAATGTCAATTAATTTAATTAAAAATAATCAACTTTTTTCAACATCTTCATCATCAAATCATTTTTTAAATAATCATCAATATGGATTTTTATCAAAATTAAAATTATTCTTTAACAATTATAATAATATTAATTCAACAAATAAATCAATTTGTATTCGAGTATATCATCCTCAAAAATTAATTGACATTTGGAATAATATTCATCAAACAAATATTTCTTTTTCAATGGAGTTATAATTTTTGTTTTTTTTTCTCATAAATATGATAACAATAAATATCCATATATATATTTAACTTTAAAGATAAATTATATTTAAGATAATGATAACAATATTTATCTTTAACACACAACAATAACGACTGACTAGTTTACATTTATTTTATATATTAATCAAATAGATAAGATGAAAAATAATTATTTTCTTTGTGGAGTTATTGAAGGTATGTTCAATAATAATGAATTTTAGATTTTATTTAAATAATAATATAAATAACGACTCAAACATTAATTAAATAGATTACTATTAGAAACGATACCATCAATTATTTTTATTTTGTTTGACGAGACATTTTTAGAAAACAAAAATCGATTGTTAACCCACGTTTTTTTTTGTTTTGTTTTTAAATCCTATATTTCTGTTTTTCAAAATAATTAAAATAGATATTTATGTTATTTTTATAATCAAGATTTTATTTTAAATACAATTGAAATATTCAAAACAGTTTGAAAATAATTTCATCCAAATAACTAAACTGAACTAAACTATCGAAATTATCGTTTATTAATCAAAATAAATTGATTATACTACTCAATTAAATAATTAATAAGTTAATCTTTTTCTTTTTGCTTAGAACTCAAATTTTTTTCTCTAAATTTTCCAATTCAACACAACTTTTTTAACATTCTTAACTTAACATGAAAAACATTTTTCCTAAATTGTTCACTTATGTAGAAGTCGTTAATTCGTTTCAACTATTCGAATAATAGTATCTTCAGAATGTCCGTATTTTCCTGGTATCTACATCAGTACGATGTAATGTACGATTGTAGGCGTTGGTGTCCATCCTTAGTGATCACACGCACTTGTCAGTGCTTGTAGTATCAGAAAATGCGATATTTGGAGGACAGATTACTGACAGGAGTATCTTCAGTAATGCAATGATTTGTATTGAAATAATTGAATAGTTTAAAGAACTATTCAAATTTGACATATATACAATTTTAGGTTATTATGGTCGTCCATGGTCATTTAATCAACGAATATCACTTTTTGAATAGTTTGTATTTAATATAAATAAAGAAACCAAAAACAAAATCTTTTAATTAATATATTTAAATAGTTGTTTAAGATTTGGTTTAAATACATATGTATATGCACCAAAAGATGATGCAAAACATCGATCTCGTTGGAGAGATTTATATAGTGATGAAGAATCAAATGAATTATCTCAATTAATTAATGCAGCCAAACAATTTGGAATTAATTTAATATATGCATTATCACCTGGTATTGATATAACATATTCATCTGATAAAGATTTACAATCACTTAAACAAAAATTTCATCAAGTTTTTACATATATTTATTTATTTTTATCGAAATAAATAATATTTATTATTTATAGTTATCTAGTATTGGATGTGAAAATTGGGCATTATTATTTGATGATATTGAAAGTGATATGTCTGAAGAAGATAAAAAATTATATCCATCATTTGCTCATGCTCATGTTGATATAACCAATAAATTATATAATTATCTTAATAAACCAAATATATTTATTTTTTGTCCAACAGGTTAATTTATCATAAATAAATAAAAAACAATGAATAAAATAATTATTTAATAAATTAATCATTAGTTTATTGTAGTCGAATGGCAAAACCATCTATTGATAAATCTTCCTATTTACAAACAATTGGTGATGGTCTACATAATCATATTGACATTTTTTGGACGGGTAATTATTATTTATTCAATTATACTTTTTATTCTTACAATAGAATTACACTTCGTCTTCTTCTTCTTCTTCTTACGTTTTTCATTTTCATATTTGGTTTTAAATATTTAATTGACAAAAGAAATAACGTAGCATTGATACAATATATTATATGTATTTGTCAATCGAACAAGGATACATTTTTAATTCTATAGGAATTTAATCAAAATTTTAAAACATTTAGCTTAAATATTTGTCTCTGTTTTTAACTAAACCAACAAATTGAATGAGATTAATTTCAATTGTGAGAGTGTTTACATAGATAGATTTATCTATCAGAAGATTATCAATCTGAAACCTTCATGATAATCTTTTGAGAAATAAATCTATTTATATAAAAATTCTCAATTTGAAATAATCTCATTGAATTTATTTAGTTAGATAAAACACAGAGATTTTATATTTATGTTAAATTGTTTGAATTTTCGACAAAAACTTGTCAATATATTAATTCTATTGAATAATTTATTCATATATGAGTTGATTAGAGTTTTGTTGATTATTTGTAATAGGAAATAAATTATTGTTGAAACTGAATCAAGATAAATAATCGTCATAAACACAAACGAAATTAATTAAATATAGAGATAATAATTAAATGTTTGATCATATAGAATAACTACTAAAATTAATATAATATAATCATATGATAAATATAAAAGATCTTTTATAATATATTGAACAATTGTATAGTTGAATATTATCAAATATATATGTATATTCGATTATATTTCGATTAATCGAATAATATCAATTAAATATAATCAATAAAAAGATCAATTTTTTATTTTATTTATTTGAATAATGATTATATTATTCAATCAAATTTAATAGTTTTTATTTTTCTATTGATTAAATCAAATATATATATATACTATGGACAGTCAAAAATTTCTGAGAATTTTCAAAAAGTATCATGTCGAATTTGGTTACCTACTCAGAATTAATAAACCACGCATATCATATTGTAGAGCAAGTCGAGGCGCGTCGAATGATATAATATTATAAATGTTGCTTTCAAAAACTTTTGGGGGAACCAGACTGGATTTATCGATAGGTAGTCATGCATTCAAAGCATTGACCATTTTGGGTCTTGGTATCAGTCAAAAGTATTTCTAAAAATAATTTTCTTATATACAATTTTGTAGAGTTTATTACGGGTTACAAGGTTATATAGTTAGTATCTCCGATCATTCTATTTTTGATAAAGAAATTTGTTGAAAACAAGATTTATAATATATCATTTGACGCGCCTCGTCTTGCTCTACAACATGGTATGTTTGCTTTATTAATTAAAAGTAGGTCACAAAATTCGACACGCTACTTTTTGACTGTCGATAGTAAATAAAAAAATTTGACTAACGAATAAAAAATGAATATTAAGGTCGAAAAGTGGTATCTCAAGATATAACAGTATCTCATTTGTTATCAATAAATAATATATTAAAACGTCGTGTTATTATTTGGGATAATTTAAATGCAAATGATTATGATCAACGTCGTTTATGTATGGGACCATATACAGGTCGTTCATTAAATATTTCAAATGAAATCAATGGAATATTATTAAATCCAAATTGTGAATTTGAATTAAATTTTATTCCATTAAATACTCTTGGACAATGGTTTAAATTAATAAATATAAATGAAAAAGATAATAATTATAATAAGGATTTTATTAAAACATCTTCGATATATGAAGTTAATAAAGCATTTGAAAAATCTTTAATTGATTGGTTACCGGAATTTAATAAAATTAAATCAGCTAATGATTCACAACAAATTCTTAAAGTAAGTTTTTTTTAATTTCTTATGTATTATTTAATTAAAAAAAGTAAATAATATGTTAAGATTGATAATTATCGTGAAGGAATGAGTCCAAAATGTTTAATATCATCATTAACAAATGAAGAAAATGTCGAAGAATCATTAAATGAAAATGTAATAAGTTGTTCATCATCAAGATTATCAAAAAGTGATATAATGGAATGTGATCATAATAAAAATAATATTTGTTTAACAATTGATGATATTCGTTTACTTGTTGAATTATTTTATTTACCTTATCAACATGGACCAAATATTCAACAAGTATTTATGGATTTCTATTGGCTTAGATTTAATTATAATCAATATAAAAATGTAAGAAAAACAGAAAAAAGAAAAATTTCATCATATAATAGTTATTATTCATCGGCGGGCCACCATGGTGGCACGGTATGGCACTTGCCCTACCAAAACTTTTTATTCTTTATGAGCTTTCCTTTACTACTATTTTTTTCGATTCAATCTTTAATCAGAGACCAACAAAAAGAAAAATAAGACCAGAGGTGACTCCTACTTTTTCATAGAGACATCCTCAGATATGCTTTATTTACTTATTTTTTTCTAGAGGTAATACAACAGGTGATCGAAAATTATTTGAGCTATATGTTTTTTCATTTTTGACCCGCCTGAAAGTATTTCCGATCAGTCAAAGTCTATAAGCTAGAACCAGAGCTTTGTGCTCTTTCCGAATATGGACTTAGACATTTTATGCCGGTTTCCGTTCGAGAATAGTGAAATGATCTTTAAAGGACTCAAAACTAGTTTGGACGGAACGTTTGCATGGAACTTTCTAATCAAAATTTTGACTTGTTTTTGGCTTGCTTGAGAGCATTTTCAGATGAGTCAAACCTATGGGTTAGCACCAGAATTTTGTGCTCTTTCTCAATATGGGTCTAAAACTTTTGTATCTATTTTTATTCAAGAGCTTTGAAAGGCTTAAACGATTAGGTTGGACTGTGAACAAACAGGTTTCGCTAGTCCATACCAATCCATTTGGGAAGATGCTAAAAATTTTCGGATTCGTTAGTTTTGTAGAGCAAACAATTCTTTACAAAATGTGATATTGAACTAACCTGTAGCCTTTACCCAAGGTGAGCTGTACGCATTTTTCCAAGAGCTACTGTACACAAAAAGAGCTTTTGATGAATAAAAACGATTTTTCAAAAATGACGATTTAGGAGAAACGAATAAGCAGAAGCCTTGTTCAAAGATGAAAAAGTACTCAAACAGCACATTTTGTAGGATAGGTTTTACTCTACAAACTGGTATAATAATAAAGATTCCACCTTTTAGTTTCGGATGACAGTAGCAAAAACACAAAAATATGCGGACAACTATCTGTCTAAACTAAGTTTTTGGGTCTTTCAAAGATTATTTCACCGATCTTAAACAGAAGCCAACACAAAATCTCTAAGACCATGTTCGGAAAGAGCACAGAATTCTGATTGTAATACATAGACTTTGACCCGCCGGAAATACTTTGAGACAGGTCAAGAATAAACAAACATTTTGTCCAAACAATTTTCGGTCACCCGTTATTTTAATTGTATTGATGAAGTTTTTCTATGAAAAGTTTGTGATAACATCTTTGTTTTTTTTGTCATTTTCTCAACAGTGAGAATAATAAATATAATATGAATAGAATGCCTACCGTAGAAACTTAGCATGAGAATCAAAAAACATGAACAAAATGTAAGGTTCGATTTTTTTTTATAAGTTCCTTACACTTTTTTAATGATTTTGCCATACCAAAACAAAATGATCCTGGCCCGCCGATGTTATTATTATCAATTTGAAAATAAAATGAAAAATTTTCATTTAAGTTAGATAATTGGCGTCGTCGTGCATCAGTATTTAATGATAATGTTAAAGATATATCTTGTTTACGTAAAAAATTAATATCAATTGATAATCGTGCTTTACTTTATGATATTTATAATTATATTAATGATATTAATTCAACATTTATTCTTTGTTCAAAATATCTTAATTGGATTGGTTAAATATTTTTCATATTTTTATTTTTAAATTAATTAATTAATTTATTTAAGATGACAATCAAAAAAATTCATCAGTATTTATGTCAGGTGATGAAGAACCATGGTCAAAACGAGGTGGTCTTGCTGGAGATTTTCTTGTTTGTTTCCTCTTTCTTTTATATTAAATAATTAAATAATTATTTAATAGGATTTACTTCCAATAGGTGAATTTCAATCTTTAATTAAACCAGGATTAAATTCATTATCAAATATATTTATTATTCGACCAATGACTTTAAATGATCATGTTTGTTTCATTTATAAATGAAAATAATTATTTCAATTAGTTATTTTTTAGACATCTATTTATAGATTGTGTACAACTATTTCTTATCAATATGATATTAATCATATTATCAATCAACATTCACAAATTTTAGCTGACAAGTTTGTTATTTTATTTTATTTGGACTTTTTCTTTTTATATTATATATTTAACTATAAACCATAGTAAATTAATACTATATTGATATACCTTCGTTAGACTAACTAATTCTGATATAATAATTATTTATAATTGAGTATGAACAAAGAATTTCAACTGTTAAAGACATTAACAATTGAAAAATTTCTTTAATTAATTAATATCTTTCTATATATTAATCTTTACTCGATTATTTCTTGATGTTAAAAATGATCGAAACTTTTTTTTTGAAAAATCTTTCAAGTTAAAATAAAAAGTAAGAAAGAAAATAATCACCTTTAGACATAGACGACAGAGATGTCCATCGCGGCTGAAACTCTGCCGCTGCGCGGCAGCGGCATTATAAAAAAAAGTTACCGCGCCGCGATGGTTTTCAAAAAAGTGTTTCGATTTTCACTGCTGCAACTGTATTGGGCCAGAAATATTGGTACTAGTCCATCAGATTCATTCAGTCTCGGGGTGTTTCATTTGTAAACAATGAAATTCTATTAAATTCATGCAGTTTTTCAATGTCCTCGAAAAAAAATGCTGCCGCTGCCGCGATGAGCTTTTAAAAACTCTGCCGCTGCCGCGATGAGTTTTTAAGAAACCTGCCGCTGCCATGGACATCTCTGATAGACGAATACGCTAAACTTTATTCTTGTCATTCGAAATTTGTCTTCACCCTATGAGATAAATCATATTTAAAAGAGAATGATTAATTATTTGTCTAATAGATAGAATATAATAAATATTCGAAAGAAAAAAAGAAAAGTGTAAATGTATCTATTATTTTGATTAGAATAATCGGTGGATATTTGTCAAATTCATTAAATAATGTTAATCTTAGTTATGTTATTGATAATAATGAAGATAATTTATGTGGATTTTTATTAACAATAAATGAAAGTGAAAAATATGATAAATTAATTCAAACAAAATGGATTGAACAACTTAAAAATAAATATCCTGATGTTGATCAAGTTAATCATTTGTTTTTTATTTTATTTTAATTTAATTCTAAAACAAATTTCTCTTTTTCTTTTTTCTTTTTCTTTAATTATTTAGAATTTTTTTCAATTAATCGAATGTCCACAATGGATTTATGATAAATATTCTGTTCGTATACAAATATTTATTGATTTAACAATAAAAACAGATGAAATCTATCATATTGGATGTAAATTAATGAAAATTCTTATTGAAAATCTTTCTCAACAAGGTTTTTCTAAATAAAATCTATATATGTTAATTATTAATTAAATAAATAAAATATATGTTTTTCTTAATAGGTTATAATGGATGTCATGTTTTGTTAGATGAAACAAATATTTGTTTACATAAATATTATTTATATCTTGGATTTACTGATATACAAAATATTGATCAAAATGACCATTTTATTCTGCTTGCTAAAAAATTTTAAAATAATCATTCTTTTTCTTGTTTGTTTTTGCTTCAAATAATTTAATCGATTGTGATCATATTAATAAATAAGATAGCAATTATTATTTTTATTCAATCTTCAGTTTTACTTTAAATAATATATTCAAAATAAAATAAAGAAAAGAAAATTTCTATTAATAGAATTGTTTTATAAATAACGATTCTGTTTTTTTTATTAGACATGCATTGGTTTGTTATAATTCTAATAAAGAATTTTCAATCTAGTTACTATATCGATTCTATTTATGATCTTAATATATTTGGAAAAAACTAAGATTTTACAATCAACAGTATAATCTTACAAGAATTTAATTGAATTATTTTCTTTTCAGTTTGAACAAATCAGCAAGGAACATTGGTAAATATTATAGACTTAAATAAGAAACAGAGCAATTAACTTGATTATGAAATAATAACAATTGTTGTTTATATATAATTACAATTAAAATAATCAAATAAAAAATGTTCATTTTGTCAGATATAATTTTGTCGATTGTTGGAATAAAATTAAATGATAATAAAGTAAAAGACAATCAATAAAATAGTTCTGATTATTATTTTTGAAAATAATAGATCAAGAATTATTTATTTACTCTATTAGCAATTTTATTTATTATTTCGTAATTTATATTTAAAAATTTTTGTTTTGATTCTATAAAAAAGAGAATAAGAATTCTATTGATTGATATATGTATTTATTATTTTAATAAAGATAATTGTTAATCATTGTTAGACAATTCTAAAAGAAATAAAAATCATATGAGGAAACGAATTTAGTTTGGTTGATTTATTTATACTTTAATGTACTTTAACGTACTTCATGTACTTTAAAGTACTTCAGTATACTTAGGCTTAGGGATTTAGTTGTCTGAAATTTAAGCTAGCTGATAGCTGGTGACGAAGTAACGACAATTGCGAGACCTCGACCTTTCAGGTAAGAAAGAGTATTTCGAGAAAATAAAGATATTCTATAAAGGTTCACGAAAGCAAATCTGGGTCGTAGAATCCGAATTTGCAATTGGTTTCTCAAAATTTCGAAGTGGATTTTTGGGCTAAGGAAGGAGTATTTCAGGGAAATAACGCCCCATAATAAAGGTTGACGAGAGTAAATCCGGACCGGGGAATCCGAATCCGCAATCGGTTTCTCAAAATTTAAAAGTAGATTTTTGGGCCAAGGAGGTGGTATTTCAGGGAAATACTAATTTCTTATAAACGTTGACGATAAGTATTGGAGTGAAGAGTTTTGAGTATACAAGTTATAGGTGCGAAAATTGGTAGAAATGCGTGATTGTGTAGAATCGGACCGCTCGTCTTTGCTTGAAGTTAAGAGGACAAGGAAGAAAAATTTGAGAAGACCTTTTACTAGCTTATGGGTTTCCCAAATACATTTCCATGGATCCTGTGGATTCCTGGTGTTTCGTTATGGAAAACCGTCTTTTAGATTTAGATACAACAACAAGATATTCTTATTAAAAGTACCTTTCACCGTTTGAAAGCCTGTTCTTTTGCACTTAGCTGAGTAGAGTTTGCGTTGTCTCCTGAAAACTGTTTTCCTGAATGCTGGGTCTTCTTGGTAAAAGCTAGGGATATCAAGTATAGAATGAAAGGCGATCTGTTCAGAACCGGTTTGAATTTGCGTAATAATTGGTCACGGCTTTTGATTCTGAATAGATGCCTTGGGAACAGGAATGCAGTACGTAACGAAGTCGTTGGCATGGCTGGAGCTTCTATTGAGAAAGGTAGTATGATAAAGATCTTGCACAGAACATGTCTATTTATGAATTACCTGTAGGCATGCTATTATTTCGAATAGTAAGAGAAAGTAATTGATGCGCTATTTTCAGTGTTGAGTGGAAGTTCGTTTAAGAAGGTTGAATTCGTAAAGAGGATATACTCCGTATTGTTATTGGACTCAGTAATATATGATACTGAAGAAGCATAGAGAAAGATATATACATGAATAAAATTGGATCAAAGAATATGTCTCGTAACAAGTAGATCCTTTTTAGTGTAGACGCTGTGAACACTCGATTTTTCGTAGAACTTCAGAATTGCTATCAACTTCATTATGATAGTTATTGTTTCAACATTTCTATCTTCTTCAATGCTTACCAGTTAATCATATATTTCCGCAAAATGGCATCCTGTCAAAAATCTTATTGCATCCTACTTTGCTTTTTCATCGAGAGCTATTGATAAAGGATAAAAAAAAGATCTGTTATGCGTATTGAAAGGGATTTTTAAGGACAGCACAGGACGGCAAGCGATGACAAAAGGCCGGTAGCGACTATGGGCAGCCATTAGTCATGATCGAAAATCAAAAGAACTAACAAAGATTACTTAGGACTCTCAGGTATACCGGTTGACCACTGAGGATCGCTAGGGGCTATGAAGAACTGCCGGAGTTTCCACACAAGTAACAGAAGCTATCAGTAACCCCAAGGCACCAACAGTGTCAACTATTTTTAATGGCACGAATGCTCATGGATCCTGACACTCACCCCAGAGAGTAGCAGGCTTTGAGACACTACCAAATCTATTCATACAAATGATAAAAATCAAAGTATTTTATAAATCCTTTGTCTGAGTTCTTTTAATAATGAATCTCGTGTTGCAAGCAGTAAACTATGCCTCACAAGAAGCATTGAAAACCGTCAACATAAAAGGAACATAAGGAATTCCCGAATCGCACCGTATTCGTAGTCCTAAACTGAATCTTTGAGCTCTCAGCCTTGCATCATGAACTTCTTATCGATCTCAGTGAGCCCTACATGCCCATAGAAGTTTAATATGCCATGAAACTTCAGAGACGCATAGATCTTTCCAAACCAAAGAAATACGCATCATTGGATGAAGTGATGCAAGCTGCGACTTTGTGCAATGCATAACTTCACCCTTCATAAATTTGAACGGTCAATGTGTGGATCTCCTCAAATCTAATTACAAGAGCCTCAATTTATGCGCACACCATCACCAATGCACCCACGTCCAAAAGCGTAACTTCAGCCACAACACTCTTTCATGGTTTTGCTGCATTGCTTCACTGGCTTACAATATACAAACACATACTTGCAGTTCCGCAAGTCAGTTTCATGTAAAAATATTCCTTGAATTTGAATATACTATCGATGTCAGCGAAGCGAGTCGCTATCAAACCTTCAACTCTGAAAACATCATTAAAGTATCTCATACCTAAACACCATTTTGAACGACCAGTTGGAGTAATAACCTACAGACTCACGCCATTACTAGGAAATACATTAAAAGTAAGCTCAGCAACGAAAAGTTTTCACAACAGATAATATGAGATCTTATCATAGATGCTCATCTTCCTATAACAACCCTTTCTTCATCTAAAAATCGAGTTCTCGATTTCGAGAAACTGATTGCAGATTCTGATTCCTCGTCCTCGATTTAATTTCGTCGACTATTATTGTAAATCATTATTTCCCGAGAACATCCCTTCTTTAACCCAAAACTTCACTTCGAAACTTTGAGAAAACGATTGCGGATTCAGATTGCACTACCCATATTTACTTCGTGAACCTTTATGAAAAATCGTTATTTTCTCGAAATACTCTTCTTTAGCCGAAAGGTCGAGGTCTCGCAATTATTGTTACTTCGTTATCAGTGACCTGGTAACATAACGGTAAATGCCTACTACTAATTCCACTTCATTGTATTTCAACGTACATCAATATACTTTACAGTACTTCAATGTACTTTAAAGTATTTTAATGTACTTTAATGTACTTCGCGATACTTCGCTGTACTTTAAAGTACAATAGTACGATGTTTTCCCCTTGTTTTCATCCCTTGTTCTCATGATGACTTGTGATTATCTTGAAACTTCTTTTCTGCTAACTGATCACTTGGTTTTCGAACAATTCTGCATTTATTACTACTTGTAATTCAGTAAAAAAGAATTCTTCATAATTCATCTGGAGCATGGCGTAAAAAATGAAAAATTAGACGAAATATTAGTTATTTATTACTTCATAATTGGTAAGAGAGCAGAGGAGAAATTATAAAAGTACCTGAGATGATTTGTTTCATGTTTTTTTTTAACTAAATAGTTGTTATTGGAAGATAAAGAGAAATTGTAGAAGTATTTTTAACCTGTTCAAAATAGATTTTATAGAGGAACCTTTTTTATTCATCTGGAGCAATCTTGAAAGAAAAAAAAAGAAAATTATCTTATGTAAAGTGTCGAGCTTTCCATGCTGCATCTTTTAGTATATTTTGTGTTTTTTTCATACGACATTTTAAGCGTTTGAAAACTGAAATACAAAATGCGGTTATTTAATATGCCCCATCCATTATGATCTAATGGTATCAGCTAGTTTTACACAAAAACAACTCTTATCAAACTGTTTTCTTTTTATTTTGATATTAAGTGAAGATGGACCAAATACCAGGAAGAAATAGAGATTTATTTTCTCTATCACTGCATAAGAAAAAACGAAATTTTTTCAAGCTTTCTATACGGAAATAAGATAACGATTGCACTACTGTTTGTATGCCCTAAATATAAAATACAATGTTCTTAATGAAGAATTCATTCTATGTCAGATGAAAATTAATTAGTTTAATCAATAATTAATAATCACTTTTTTAAAAATTTTCTATGTAAACAAAGTGTGCATTATTGATATTATTTACGACAATAAATCAAGGATTCGATATCTATGGATAACAAGTACAAAGAAAAGAAAAAACCTAGGTCAATCAAAAGCAAATATAGAATAGACGAGATGATGATATTAACGATATGTTTTAACAAAGAATAGAAAAGAATAGACAAATCGAGGTACATATTATGTGATTATACTGTAATAGACTACAAAAGACTTATTCGAACAGAGAAAAGAGCAAGGGGGAAACGGCAGATTCCGGATTCCCAGAATTCCCACGGGATTCCCGGGATCCCGGGAATCCCGTGGGAATCCTGAAAATCCCGTGGGAATTCTGGGAATCTTGGGAATCCAGGGAATCCGCCGTTTCCCCCTTGATTTTGAGAGTCTTGTTCTAATTCTCCAAGTTCTGAGTCAACTTCTTCGTCATCATTGTCATCACTAGTATGTTTGGCCTGTTTATTTTTGATGACTCTTAGACACAGGATTCCCTGGATTCCTAGGATTCCCATGGGATTCCCGGGATTCTCAGGATTCCCGTGGGATTCCCTGGATTCCCTGGATTCCCATTGGATTCCCAGGATTTCCAAGATTCCCAGGATTCCCAGGATTCCCATGGGATTCCCTTGGGATTCAGAATCCCGGGAATCCGCCGTTTCCCCCTTGATCGAAATGGTTATGATGCAAAAGTAACAAATATTTTTTAGTACAAAATTTATCGTTGAAACATCTTCAAAAGGATATTTAAAAAATCATTTAAACAAGTACGTTTTCTCTTTCTATGTATTGCTTATTAAACGAATACAAATTTATGTAGATTTGGTCAAACAATATGTGTCATCCACAAGATACAATTATCAGTAAAACATGCCTTAATCCAAAAGAATTTACTCGTATTATATTTACATCGGATTTAAAACGATTTCAAATGGATAAATTCGATGATGATGATTTTGTTTCATTATTTAAACGATGTGCTTATAATGTAGTTATATCAACTGGTTGTAAAGTAGCACTTAATAGTAAATGTATTCCTATAAGATTTTTTTCAATTCAATTTCTAAAAATTTTTTTTTGTTTCTTTTTTGTAAACAAATGATATATGTTGATGTATATTGAAACAACAGAAAAAAAAGAAATTGTTTATAAAAAAAGTCAATGATCGTTGGGATATTGGCGTTGCCAAAAATGATTATAATAATGATTTTCAACAAGCCAGCTTTGTTAATTCAATCTTAACATCAGAAAATGGTAAACATATTGATTATATAACTGAACAAATATGTCCAAAACTTGCTGAACATATAAAAAAGAAAAGTAAAGCTGCTGCTGCTGCTGCTGAAAATCTTAAACCAATGCAAGTTGAAAATCATTTATTTATATGTGTTAATTATTTAATTGAATATCTGGAATTTGAATCACAAGCTAAACAAAACAAATTAGCAACTGAAGGTAAACATTTTTGTTCAACATATCCATTAAAAGATGATAAAAATTTTTTAAAAGATATTATAAAAAAAATCGGAATTGTTCAATTATTTATTAATTGGGCTTGAGCATCGACAAGATGCTAAATTACAAAAACAAAGTGGTTCAAAAACATCGAAATTATAAGGTATAACGAAATTAGATTATGACAATCATGATGGAACAAAAAGTTCTCAATATTGTACATTAATTGTAACTGAAGAAGATTCAGCTAAAGCACTTGCTGTAGCTGCCCTTGGTGTTATCGGTCGAGATCGTTATGGTCTTTATCTATTTTCTTTGTTGTTTTAGAGATTTTAAAGTAGTTATGCTTAATTTAAATGATGATTTAAATAAATAAAAATATTTTGATGAATATCAAGCATGAATACTTCCTTTAAATGTTAATCAATATAAACGATGACTGGTAACAATATTAGTTAGTTTCAATTAAAAACAAAGTAAATAAATATTTTAGACAAATTCGTCATACAATGTTGCTATTTAAATATTTAATAATGATAAATAAACGTTATTTAAAAAATTAAATATAATCATACCATCAATTGTTAGAACTGCTATATCATTAATCAAACTTGATTAAGATCAAAAGATCATGTAAATGTTAAATTTCTTAAAATGATGTTTTTGTTTGATAAATATTTTTTCTTATAAACGATTCCAATAAAAAATTTTGTTTAGCTCTATGAAACTGATCAATAGAAACGAAAGAAAACTTATAAAAATGATTCAATAGATGAGTCTGTTTTATTTTCTTCATAAATATTCTAAAGATCTTTTATGTTTTAGAGTTTTTTCGATGTCTAAAAAATTTGTATCGGCATTATTATATTTATATAAGGGAAAAACAGATAAAAATATTATGGAACAATTCTTGGTTATAACTCATTGGGCATTTATAAACGAAAATTTTCTGGTGAATGAAAAATCACCTGAAGTATGAAATGATGTTTATTAATTATTTTTATTATTTCCATTTTACAGGAAAGCGAACTTTTGTTCTTTGAAGAATAAAAAGACGAACATTCAGAAAAAGGTCCAAATCCTCATGTTATTATGAAATTCAAGAAAAATAATCGTGTATGGAAGGTTCAATGTCTGTTAGAATATGATAGTTATGTTCTTATATGTGGCATTGAAAATAAGGAATGGCCACCATCGATCATGAAAATTCAAGAACATACTAATAATAAGTAAATATATCCTTATTTTTCTATTAGACTTATTTTTCAAAACTTTTTTCTAGTGGAACATTAAAAGTAGATGAAATGGCCGACAAGATTATTCATCGTATTCGAACAACACAACATCAACTTTAACAAGCAAAAAAAAAGATGTTTTATTATTATGGAACATTAACTATTATTAATCTTTTTTTTCTCACTTTTATTTTTGTCGTGATCTTTCTTTATTCACTTTTAACTAAGTCTTTATCTATATCTTTTTGCTTGATTTTCTTTTCAAAAAACTTCATATTGTTCCATCAAAACATCATATTTTATTATTATTAATAAACATTTAACATACAGTTGGTCAAAAAAGTATCCGACCATCCTTTTTTAGCCTCATACAAAGACTTCATTCAAATAAACTCTTTATAAAGGCGGACTCTTGTAAAACTTAATTAAGATAGAGAGCTTTGCTTGCTCTATCCAATGATGGTTTTCGGGTAAAAAACCAATATGTCTTGACATTAAAAATCAGTTTTTACGGACAATCATAAAATTTTCAGGAAAAAGAGATCTTTGACAAATTCGATGGCGCATTTGAATTGAAAAACCACATATGCAGTTTTATAGAGCAGCTCAAGATGCATCAAATAGTGTATAAAAAGTTGCATTT